CTTTCACTTTTCATTATTGCAATTCCATGTCTGTACTCACAACAAGGGTCTCTTTCAATTGTCTCTTTCTTCTCTTCCTTTATATTCAATACACCATATCATAATTTTTCAATTTCTGAAAAAGCAAAAAAACATGGTACCTGAGAAGAAGAATAATGAGTGAGAGTCACTGATTCCTCTCCCTTACCTCTTCGTCTTTGCATTTAATAGAAAAACCGCACGGATTAACGGCAGGCTCTCAAATGTCATGAAGCCTCTCAAATGTTTTTTCATTTTTTTTTTTGAAGATTTAATCGATTAAATTGAAGATTTAATCGATTAAATCTTTAAGTCAATTATTTTTGTTAGTTTTGATAATTTAATCGATTAAATCTTCAAGTTAATCGATTAAAAAGGGATAGATTAGTAAATAGTTTTGAATGAGGGATAAAATAATTATTAATTAATTAATAAAGGATAAAAAAGTCAAAAAAAACCTAAAAAAAACATTAACTAAAAAAAATAAAATCAAACGCTACTTTAAAATAATATCATGGCTACCTTCAGTGCCTGATGAGAGTATTTTTTTCTAAAAATTAACTAAACAAAGTAATTAAGACAATTGTTACCTTATCTTTTCTTTATATAAATATAATGTAATATTTAATAAAGGAAAAATATACTCTTATGTTATATGGGAATATTTTTTTCTCCTATACATACATTGATTTTCGTATTATTTTTCTTCTTTTTTACTTTTTTTATAAGCAGGTGAGTCCCATACATAATTATCTCTACAACAAGAGAGAACTTCTCTCCTATTACATGAGATTAATAAAGCCCATTTATAAAATACAAAAGCTTCAACTTTTTATTTTTAGTTTTAGGCAAATATTGATGAACCACCCGTAGTTTGTTGGCAACTAGCTAGGGGTGGTAAACAAATCAAGGGCCTTTGGCTCGGCTCGTGAAAGCCTGAAGTTACATGTCTAGAATTGGTTGTTGAAACAATGCTTGGACTTGTGTAAAAGCTCGTTTAATAAAAAGGCCTCAGGCTCCAATTCAAAAGCTCGGCCGTAGAGCCTCTCCGGCTGACCTAGTATATTAATTTTTATTTTATTGTATATTTTTTATACTACTTATAATAACCTTCTCTCTCCTCAATTTATTTCACCCTATTTTATTAGTTAAACAGACTTTTTGAATGATTTTGTTCTATATTATGCTGTTTAGATATACATTGAATTTATGAATATTTATGGAATCACTAGTTTTGTTGATTGGATATTTTTTTGGATAAATTTTTGTTGTCTTATTTTTTTTTAATAAGCTAAACCAGGCATTTATTTTTTTGTAAATAAGTCAAGCCACATACCGATAATTATATTCAGAACAGATAACAGGCTTGGTCAAGCTGACATATTTAAACACAGGCTTAGCCTTTTGTAAGAACTCGCACCGTTAATTAAGGAATTTAATTAATAAATTATGAGAAAATAGGAAATGATTCCATAATTGACCCTAATAATTATTATGAGGCTTTAATAATTATAGTAAGTGGGTAATATTGCTGAAAGTCGCTTTTCGGAAGAAAAGTGCAGATACTGATTCTGCTAGTCGGTATAAATGAGTACCGAAAAAGTATCCCGGAAAATTAAAGTAAGTGCATGTTAATTACTAGAATAATATGTAGGACTTGCAAAACGAGTTTCAAGTCCAGATAATGAGAACTGGTGCTAGAAACCGGTACTGGCTTGGAAAAGCGCGTACCGGAAAGGTGCTCAGAAAATTATAAGAAAAATATGATAAATCTTAGAAAATTATGTAGTTCCATAATCTAAAGTTTGGGATTAAAATGCTAAGCGTAGCAATTAAAGTTAATACTGTGTGTTTAAGTGACTTGTGGCTATAAATACCCATTTCTAAGGGTACAATGCCCTAGAAAACAGATTTAGAACGTGAGAGTTGAGGGTGGCTGATCAGCTTGGCTGACTTGTGGGGTTTCTTCTCCATTTTGGGTCCAAGGCACTTCCTTTCTTGTTTTTCCTTCATCCTTCCTTTGTAAACACTTGAGAGTGAGCTTGGTGAGGGAGAATGGTGCTTTTCTCTGAGTGCTCAGCCACTGTTGGTGAGAGTTTTGGGGCTGACTTGGTTGGCTTGGTTGTGGAAGCTTGAGTTGGGCATTTTGTTGCTTAAAGAAGCAACATTTGGGTAGAAAGGTCAAGTCTTGGTGTAGTATTTTCGTACACCATATTCCCAGTAGCTGTTGAAGCTGTTTTGGGAGCTTCATGAGCAGTTGACCCTCTGTTTTGGCCTTTGGTATGTATACCAACCTTTGATCATGAGTTTAATGCTTAAAAATGAAAGCTTGATGCATGTTAAGGCTTAAAGATGATAACTTGTTGTTGGGTAATGTTGAACACACCTATAAATGCATGTTTAGGTGCTTTAAATCGTTAAAAACCCAACTTTGGATGGATATCTTCACGAAAATGCAGAACTGCATTCTGTCGTGAAATATCCGGATATCTGCCTGATGAATATTCGGATATGTGATATCCGGATATGGGGTTTTGGATATCCGGATATTTGGTATCTGGATATGGGATTCTGGATATCCGGATATGCACAGTGAGATATCCGGATATTGAATATCCGGATATGGTCCCGAGGAATATCCGGATATTCTGGGATTTCGAAGAACAATAGCTATGCTGTGAGGACAGTAGGCTATTGGGGGTTTGTGGACCCTAGATTGATGAAGTTGAACTTCTGTTTTAATTAAACTAAGTCAGAATCAAGTGATTAAGGGCTTATGACTTGGTGAGAAGCCTTAAGACATAAAGCGTAATGAAAAGGCGTTGTCTTTAATTTGTATGCATGTGGTACATGTTATTGATTTATATTTGGTCCATATCATATTGTGATCTGCTGTGGTTGGACTTTGAGCTTGTGGCATTGGATAGCTAGCTTAGAGGTAAGCTTTCGTGTCCTCGGTTTAGCCATGTTGTGGTTCCACCATGTCCCATGGGGGTATGGTTTATGCATGCTGTGTACATGCTTTCGGATATTTGATATGATGATTGAACTTTACATGTAATGACTTTTAATATGCATGTGTTGTTTCATCTTGACGGGAAGCCTGAGTATGTAGCGCTATACAAGACGGTGTACCGGGGTGAATGCAAGTGGTACTTGCACGGTGTGTAGGTGATAGACGTATACCTGCACTGTCTCTGGCCAGTAGATTAGTATTGACACACATGGCATGATTATCTGCTGCATTGCATTATTTTAGAAATGATAAATGATAAACTGCTTTTGAACTTATATTGCACATGTAAGTGAGCTTGGGGTGGAAGATCCTTGAGGACGCACTGTCTTACTGAGATTTCTAGTTTAGAGATCTTACCCCACGTTTGGGGAATGCTTATTTCAGGATAAGGTAGTATGGGTACTGATGCCTCAGGCGGCAGGAGGCCGGAGCTTAGCTGATTATGTTTTACTGCTTTATGTTAGCATGACTGGATTTGGATGCTGTTTATGTTTTCCACTATGTATGATATGTTGTTGTTGAGACTGATGTTGGGCATGTTGCCTTATTTGAGTGAACATGGGGATTGTCCATGACACTTTCTGTTAGTACTTTTTAGATTGGAGTTGTATAAACTGTTAGATGGTCCGGTCTACGTTGTTGTAGTTCCGTGACTAGAGCCACACTTATATTATCTATGTTATGAGGTATTTCAGTTAGCTGTTTTATTGCAATTACATACAAGCGATATTTTATTAATGGATTATTAAGCAAGTTGGTAATGTTAATGGCATCATAATTGAAAAGAAAAAGTAATTCCGCATTTTTAATTAAGCGCAGCTTAATACGATATTATAATAACATTGCCGGGATATATACGAGGTGTTACACCTTTTTTGTAAATTTGCTCTAATATTTTATCAACATCTTTTACTTCATCAGAGCACCACCAAATGTGACGTGTCTTTTCAGGGATATTTGGCACCCTATCACTCTCTATTCGTAAACAAAATTCTCCTAACACCGATTTTGCTAAATCATTGACAAGATCATGCATGACGGAGCAATCATCTCTACCTCCTGCTTGTTGGAAAAATGAAATTGACTCTAGACACGATTGAAGAATTGAATACCCAACTCTTCTTCGCTTTCATCTGTTGGGTTGCATTTCAGCAAACCTTCTGCCATCCAAAGCCTGATTAATTCTTCCTTTATGAACCGGTAACCTTTGGGAAACAAGGAACAATAAGCAAACAACGCTTCAGATTGGATGGTAACTCAATCTCAGTACCGGATTAATGTTACTTTTATTCGATAAAATCCACATATCAGTGTTCAGTATCTTATTCCAAAAAAGTTGAGAGAGATTTTGTAACATCCCGTCTAATTAGGAATTTATTTAAACTGCGATTAGGAATGTGGCAGAGCACGTGCCTTCGGATTTTATATAAATGCTTGCTTTAGGGGCGAGTTAAATGAAAGTAGAGAATTATTTGTATTACCATAGAAGGTGAGTATCTATGTTATGCATGTGAAATTCTAGTTATAAGTATAGGAAGAATTTAATTATGACATATAGCTATTCCCCAAGAATGGAATTAAATTCAATTTGATTAAGTAGTGGGATAACAATTATGATGAATATTTATTGTAGGCAATTGACACCCTTGTTAAAAATATAGGGACAAATGAAGATAACATATAGAAAGTGTAACACTAATTAGAACTATATGAGTATTCATTAGAGTTATGTGATTAATTTTATTTCAAAGAACAAACCCTTTATTGGACTTATATATTTGGAACCACCCTCCATTAGGGCCACGACCCAAATCTCCAAAATTGAAGCCAAAAAATCAGCCCAAGGTACTTCTCCACATGACCCCTTATCTTACCCCAAACAAATCTTACATGTCCGCCTATTATTGGTAGAGAATCAGCCACTTGTTTCCCTCATCACTGCATGCGCATGGTGTAATGGAGAAAAGGAACTCTGATTGCTTGTATCATTGTCCAAAGTTACTCACACAAAGCACCCTCAAACCCCTTCAGCCCTTGTGCGCATGAACGGAGAAAAAGCCTAGCATCTTCTGGTCTCTGGTGACCCTTTTATCAGCATTCAAACCATTATGGTAGTACTTCCTAGGCGCTATTTGGGGGAGACTGTACGGGGGAGATTTAATTTAGATACAGAAACAAAGTTGGGCCTCCTCTCATTCCAAATGACCGTAGAAACCAATAGAGAAGAACCACCATCATCTAACTTTCCTTGCTTGTCATCTTTCGGTTCGGCCTTAGACATAACCGAGTGGAGAAGTAAACTCTTTGTTGCTTCCTAGCTCCACCCTACCATCCTCGGTTGATGAAGAGTCCCTCTGCATGCAGAATCGGCGATCCCTTCTTCTCCTTTCCAGCCGAAGCAACCACCATCAAGGAGGTGAGACATTTCTTCATCTCCTTACTTTCTATTTCATGAATCGGTTTAATGGGGTAAACTCCCTTGCATGTGGCTGAGTTCGTGGACTTGGGAGAGTAAAAGAGGGAGAACCGTGACGCCTATATTGGGGACTCTATTCTTGGCCATTAGAGAACCGTAGCTCACTTGGGAGGAGGTAATTAAACCTAAAACCTTAGACTCTTCACTCTGTCTGTCTCGGTTGTGGTATGCAGCCTAGGAGGATGTACATTTTTCATTCTCCTTGCTCCTAATTCTGTTGCATTGGAACCTTGGTGTAGACTAGCTTAAAGGATCGTTTGGAGCATGGAAATAGCTCCCTTTGGGTCTCAATTAATCTGTTTCGTAGACTAGTGACTCTGCTTGTGTAAAAGATAAATTACAGCATGCTTATTGGTTCCTTTTAGCGCATCATTGGTCTTGTAGAAGAGGATAAATAAATGAACAAAATTATGACTTCTAGCCTCTAGCCTAAACCGTTTAGGTAGGTGCTAGAATCTTTAGCTATGCACATCAGTAAAATAATATGAAGACAGAAAACTAGTAGTGTGGCACATGTTTAAGTTGGATAAATCTCACACTAAAGGATTATTGATTTAATTTTAAGTCATGTAAGCAGTTTGATCTAACTAAAATTCTGAGCCTCTAGGGAATAGTTTTCGAAACTGAATCTGTATGCTTATGTAGTCTTAGAATTTTGTCAATTTTGAATTGAATAAAAATTACACACACTTAGTACCTTAAAAAAAAAAAGAAATCGAATCAGAATGTGTTGGGGCTTTGGATTGTGGTGTTGTTAACAAGTAAATATAAGTCAAACGTTAGAATCCCTTTTGTCTTGGTTGTTCGGCCATTCATATACATGTTAGGGGGATACCTTGCCTTGGTTAATAAGCGATGGAGGCAGCAAGTGAATGTTTAATTAACACATGCTTAATTTAAATGAATAATGCTATGTTAAACAAAATAAGCTGAGAGTCCCTAATTAATGACCATAAAGACCGAATCTGTATGGATGAGGAACCTTGAGTGTTGACTATTGAGTATAAGTAATAAAACCAAACATAAGTCAGAAAATCTACTTAGTTAAAGACCTTGGAATTCGATTATAAAATTAAGTACCCAGAGGAATGGAAATTTCATATGATATGGGAAAAATGTATTAAAATTCTGATCTGAGTATTCTGTTAATTTAGGACAAGGTAACTAGTGTGGGATCATGTAGCTGTATCAAATTCTTAAGAATTTAAGATTTACTTGGCAGCATACTGTATGCCTCACTAGCACACTCTAGTTAGTGTAAATCAGGTTAGGTAATACTATATATGTAGCACTTAATCCATGGGCAAGGAGCCGAATTTACATGCATGTGTAACTAGCTTGGATTCTGTTAATTAAGGACAATTGGTATATTAACTTGAGTAAGAAATTAATATGGTGTAGGAGTTAGGGAAAACCGATCACAGAATAGAAATGAAAAGCATGAAAATTCGTTGATGAACTATGGGAATGGCATGGGACAAATTCTGATTTGTCACACATGTATTTTAGGTGCACATAATTCTTATTGAGTGAGCTGAATTTTGGTGCTGTTGATTATTGCTTGGACACAAGGTATGTGTAGGCGGTATTACCTAATGTGACTATTGGCTAGTGTATGGAATTGTGATGTGTTGCTCACATTTGTTCTATGTATGTTATGATGATGATGAGCCAATGGTAAGCATATGAAAGGATGATATGATATATGCATGCATTTTACATCATAATACATTTTTCTGTTGAGTGCGATTGCATAACATGGCATGTATACTTGATTCATGACATCTTGAATATATATATATATATATATTTGTATTGAGGACATGTGACTGAGCATGCATCATATAGGCATGCCTGGTACCAGGAGAGGAGACACTTGGCTTCAGTCCGCATAGGTTCCACAGTGGGATTCACCTTCATGGGAGCCATTAGGAATACCCACTGTGATGCTATGCGCACGACGGTGCTATGAGCGTAAAGGAAAAAGGGCGTTATATACGCGTTATGATATATGATGAAAATGATTAAATGTTTGAAGTGACTATTTATGATTTTGTGCCTAGTTAATATTGTTGCGTTATGGTTTTGTTGCCACACTACTGGGATTTTCTCTCACCCCTTTGGGGCTGCTATTTTTACAAAATGGCAGGAGGACGTAAAAGCTTTTGAGGACTTGGATATTTGCTGTTGACCTCTACTGTTTGGGCATGCTACTATTGATGTGATATTTTATGGATGACTGTATGAAATTGAGAAGCTTGTATTACGTGAACTATGATTTTATTAGTGCATTACGATTTTATGACCAGCAAGTATTTTGGAAACAGATGTTGAAACGTTTGCGAAAAGGATTTTGACATGTTATCTAAATGCTGAGTTTTGAAAAGTCTTTGCGAGCACTTTGTAAGTTGTCGTACTGGGGCTACAGACCTCCGATTTTCTTATAATTTATATGCACGCGTAGCCCCAGGTGTCTAGTTTCATTATATATAAACCTTGCAAAGAAATTCTGAAAGATCGATTTATTATGAATTTTACCAGCCAGGACATTTGTGATATTTCCACTATTTTCTCTCTTATTTTGCGAGTTATGTTTCGAGGGGAAAACGAACTCCAAATCACTATTATTTTATATGAACGTGAATCCCCAGATGTCTAGTTTCCAGATTACAAAGAATATATTTTTAAATTGTTGAACTGGATTTTATACGAATTTTTAAAGACAGCAAGGTCCATCAGGAAATTTATATTTTTAATAAGTTTAAGAAATTTTGTTTACTCTGATTTTTGTAATTAACCAGATCCCCTCTTTAGTTTTAATTGGCAATGTAAAAGCGAATTTTTTTAGTCTTTAAAATACTATTAAAGAACTTCAATTCCGCTTAGCAAACAACTCTTTTGGAGGCCTACAAGAGAGGGTGTTACAGATTTCCTCCCAAGAGATTTCCCAATACGTTTATAGCCAAAGGCAACCCTCCACACTTCTCTATAATTTTCCTGCCAATTGATTCAAGATTTCGATATTCACTTACATCCTTGTCCCCTAAAGCAAGTCTCACAAATAAACTCCAGCAATCATTTTCCTTCAATTCCTTTAAACAAAGTAGTTGGGAATTCATGACTGATGCTACCTTGTTATCACGTGTAGTGACAAGAATTCTACTTCCAGGAGATCCACAGTTAAGGGCAGCATGTAGGGCCTCCCAACTTTCCCGATCAAGATTCCAGACATCATCTAGAACAAGCAAATATTTCTTGCCAATTACTCTCTCCGCCAATTCATCTTGGAGTGGTATAAAGTCTTCAGCATCTGTTGAAAACTTAAACGACTCAAGAATTGCTTTTGTAAGTCCAACAACATTAGAATAATCCGAAACACAGACCCATGCTCTACTAGATTCAAACTGCTCCTTCATCCTTTGGTCATGGTACACAAGCTGAGCAAGGGTTGTCTTTCCCATCCCACCGAAACCCACTATGCAGTGGCGAAGCCACTTTATGCTTAGGTAGGGCCCGGGCCTCAGTTACATTTCTGTAAATTTTATTTATTATATATAATTATATAAATAACTATAATTGGGTCCTATCTCAAATTGTAAGTTGGCCTTAGCTAAATTTATAACAGACGAAGATTTTGAGCTGCTTTGTGTGTGTGACCAGATAACGCTTTCTTCTTAATTTCTTATTCTTCTTTCATCTTTTTTTAATTAGGATTTTCTTCTAACCTTTTTTTTTTCTTATTCGCACTAACCACCCGGAACTCAGCCATTCTGCGACAATGTACGATATTTCGTTCCTTTCTCAAGATTTTACGGATAGATGTTCTTAGAATATGCATTTGTAATTATATTATCCGATGAGAAAAAAATTTATTTACATTTTTGAACATTGTAAAAGGGAAATTTTTTGTCTTTGCTGACCATAATTGTTTATTGGGTGTTTCAAACATGAGTGAAATTCATGCCTTTTTTTTATTTACAACTTTTTTGTGTGGTTGTTTTATTGATTTTATTTGTTTTGAAAAATAGAGTGTTGTTTTACGTTTATTTTTTTTTTAAAAATAATTTAATGTAGAGCTACAGTTGCTAGTGGTAATGAAATTAAATTGTTTCTTCGTGTTATTTGTATTTGATTTCACAACAGGAATAAATTTTTTGGCAATTAATAAGTAAAAACTGTTAAAGAGAAAATTCAATGAAGATATATGTATATATATGGAGTATGAAAATTTCTTGTACATACCCATTAATAAATTCTTTGTTTTTTTAGTATTTTTTAAAAAAATTAATATTAAAATATTGATTAAATGATTTATGTGGATCCAATGTCATTTAAATGATTTTAGACATTTATCGCTGATTGTTCCATGTTTCTTTTTAATTGTGAAGTTTGTTCTGTCCCTCTATGTTCATGTTCCTCACAGGTTACGACTAGGGGTGTAAATGGGGTAGGTTAGGCCTGCATGTTTGGGCTTTAATAGCCTAAACTTATCTAAAATATTTAGAGCCTATACTAGCCTATTAGCCTATTAAAGGCTTGATTTATTGGTTTGACCTGACTTATTATAAAAAACTAATAAACCTAATGTGGTCTGTAAGGCCTACCGAGTTGCAAACTAAGGGGGTGTACTGGATTAGGATTTTAGAGGATTTTAATGGATTAATTTTGGACAAAAAATTCCATTGGTATTCAATTAGAATTTTAAAGGATTGAAAAAAAGTCATGTGGTATTCGATTAGAATTTTAAAATATTAATTTAGACTCCGTCCAAATCCGTTGGTATTCAATCAGGATTTTAAACAAAGGAAAAACAATATTGTGGTATTAAAAAATTTGACGATTTTAATGAATTTTCCATTGGTGTGGATTTCGTGAGACTTTTTAGTGAGAAATATACATAAGATGTCTTTCTCACAATCTCACCATAACCCCTAGAATTTCTTGAGATTTCTCTACTGTAATGCCTCACAATCTACTCTAGCATTTTCTCAAAGCCAAGGTATGTTCTTTTTTGACTCTCATATATTCTCTTAGATTTGGGTATTCTTCCTTCATGATTAATGATTGTGTTTGTCGTATGTATTTACCAGGTTTTGGTATTCCTCCTTCACGATTAATGATGTGTTTCATTTTTTTTACCATAGTTGTATAGAGTTGACGATAAACATGTATCTAATTTCAAAAAATGAACTAATAAGCTTACCACATACATTCTTTGTCGACCTTCTTCTTTTGTATAATTTTTGGATTATAATGAGCATAAAATCCTAATATTCTTCGTGTTTGGCAATGATACATATTAAAAATCTTAATAATCTGGTGGCAAGCTCTATTAAAAATCCAAATAATCCTAATATTCTTCGTGTTCAATTTTCATCATGCATCATTGGGAAATGTAACTGAGAGGATATTTGGCATATTTAAATCACGGTTCACAATTTTTAAGTCAACACCTTCATTTCCATTTAAAACACAAGCAGAGCTTGTGCTAGCATGTATAGGACTACATAACTTTCTTCGCAAAGAATGTTGTTCAAATAAATTTTCAATTGAAATAGCAGATGCATCTTCATCTTCAGTATCACCAGTTAATGAAGAAGATAATTTTTAACTCATTGGTCAAACCCAAGAGCAGGAATAAGAAGATGCTGATGCGTGGATGACTAGTATAGCTTTAGATATGTGAAGAGCTGATGCTTAATAATTTTGAATGTTTGTTAAAAATTATATTAAGTTTTACTGATTGAAAAAATTATATTAGGTTTTATTTTTTTATTAATATCATTTCATTTATTTATTATTATTTTTATTGACTCTTGTAATTTTAAATTTTTTGTTAAAAATTTATATGGTTTTTTAAAATCGTATAAATCCATATTGTCCTTTCAAATCTTATAAATTCTATTAAAATTTATAAGATTTTTTATCTCAAAAAAAGTCTTTTAAAATCATAATTTAATACATCCCCTAAAGTTTATAAGCCCAAACCAAATTGAAATGTAAAAGATAAAAAAAAGTATTCACAAAGATCACATGAAATAAATTTTCATTACAATCACATGAAATAATATTCATAAAGATCACATGAAAATGCTCATAAAAATCACATTAAAATTTCATATATGTATATATACATATAATTTGCACTTTCTTTACTAATTGAATTTTATTTTATATTTTAAATTTTAAATAAATATTTATTATTTGTTAAAATAACATTAATCCTATTACTTTGAAAATTAATGTTACAAATTATGATATCAGAATATATTTTTAAATGAATAATATATATCATAAATATATATTATTAAAAAATAAAAGGTATGTGTAATTATGATAAATATTTTGACATGTCAAATTTTTTGCCTCTGACTAAAAATAAATTCTGACTCCGCCACTGTCACTGTGCTAATTATAGGTACCTGCTTGTTCTTTACATTGTCAGTGACATTGTCTGAAAGTAAAAATTCGATTATTTCCTCTTTTTCTACATCTCTACCATATGTGCTGCTTGATGGATCCACCAAAGAGGAAGTTAGCAATCTTTCTGGGGGATTCCAAATAACTTCACCTTCCTGGCTAAGTAAACTACCATTATTTGATATTTACCTCTAAATTTTAATATGTGAAACATAGTTAATAGTTGGAGAAAATAAATTAAACATTTGATCTAATGTCTGTTTTTTTTTTTAAACATCAGTTAATATAAATATATCCAACTCTTTGTAACGCTTCAGATAAACTTATAGAGTAACAGCACATAATAAAAAAAGATATATTTTTCTTATGTTGTAGGAAAGAAATTATCTTATGTTGTAAAAATAAAAATATCAGTGGAACCCACAGATAAGAGGAGAAAAAAAAAGAGTGGTGGGACCCAACCTTTTTTTGTGTGGAAAAGTTATTTATCTCATGTAAAATGACATAAACATAACCCTAAAAAAAATGCAGGTTTACATTAATTGAGTCAAATGAATTTAAGTCTTCTAGTTGTTTAATGGCCTATATGAAGTTGCAATTAACTTCCAAATTTTTTATTTAATTCTCTATCTACTATTTCCATTATATATGTTTGAAACTTCCAACAGCTCTATTTTTTTTTTTCTCTATTTAAATCCACATCTACCATTTCATCTATCCTAATTTCCTATATATAAAATGTGATATAAGAATTACGATAAATATTTAGCTTAAGTCTTTAATGTATTTTTCATTTTAAATTTTTGATTTGTTGCTTACTTTGATGAAATTAAAATTTACGTCTGTCTAGCAAAAAAAAATTATGTCCAAATATTTATAGCTTATCCATTCTTATTAATTGAAAGTTCATATAATTAAGTTTAATTTGTTTTAGGTTTCATAATATCAAAATATATGTATACAAGATCTTTTATTTTAAAAGATAACAATAAAATAAATTATCCACTAGGGCTAGCCTAGTGGTGTGGGTGTGTGTAATAGGGTGTGTGTGAGTGTGTGGTTGTGTGTTCTATTCCTTGTAACCTAAAAAAAAAAAGATAACAATAAATTAAACAATCAATATTGTAACTCATGTTTTATAATTAGATGCCTTTCTTATTTACATTAGCATGTGCCTTTTATTATTTACTATGTGTTAATTTCCCAGGCAAAGAATTTAAATATTACAAATTAAATAAGAAAATATGAAGAAAAAAATAACAATTTAGAATCTATTTACAAATATATAGTAAGAGTTTGATGTTTGTCATTTTAAATAACATAAGTTATGTCATTTTAGAAGAGAGATAGACACAAGGAATAAAAATTATGGGGAAGAAAGTGGGTGGCTTTTTTTAATTTAAATTTTAAATAAAAAAATATTATTTTGTCTTTATTTCTCTCTTAAAATGATATAAATTTATATTATTTAAAATAAAATAACTTTATATTATTTAAAATGACAAACAATTTTTCTATATAATAATTAGTCGCGCAACTTACCTAATAATAATATGTATACGATGAATTGTTTAGTTGCATAACTTACCTAATAATAATACGTGACATAAAATTTTTAATAATTTTACATTAAAATTTTGCAATGACTGGTGGAATTAAGTAAGTTTTTTTTATCCACGTACCTTTTTAAATTTGCGCATTGATAAATTCCCAAAGGTATTTTGGTCAAAAGAAATTTTAGAAATATTATTTACCAACTTATTAATTCAATTGTACTTATGCATGGCTAATCGAATCTATTGAGACTTTCTATATAATATATTAAGGTTTTATTTGAGAATTTGAAGGAAAAAGGTAGAAAAAAAATTCAAAGAAAATGAAGGAGAGGAAAGAAAAATGAAATGTATTCTTTTCCCTTATTTGTAAATTAAAATTCTCCGAATTTAAGAAACTTTAATTTTAGAAATAATAAGAGTTTCGAAAAAATTTATGAAAATTCCTAAAAAATTCTTTGCTTTTTTAAACTCATAAATAAAGAAAAAAAATTATTATCTTTTTTGTTAAAACTAATTTTCAAACAAGTCAAAAGTTTAAGCTCACCTTGCAGTTGCACGCTGCCATCTTGCATCCTGTTGTGTCGGTCAAATTGCAGTCTTCACGTGATGGGAGCTGCAAATTCTGGAACTGCAATTCTTGAATAACGACAGTATACTCTTTTAAAATGACCTCAAATCTCAACTTCCAATACTGAAGTAATTTGCGGACCAATAAATTAAAAGAATATGACATATGTTATATGTCATTTTATTTTAATGTAGATGAATTGGAAAAATATGAATTCTCAACATCCAGCATTTTAAATGTCATTAAAAGGAATGCTTATGGAGATTTTGAGTTGCATTTAAATTGACGTAGTAATAACATGTATTTTTATTTATTTATGCTTCACAAACTTGTAAAAGTGTGATTGGCTAATTTTTGAGCTTATATACTGAATCTTATTTAACACATTTTAAATATGATAATATAATTAAATTTAAATATTAATATTTATATATGTTCATGTCAATCAATCCAATCAGTAATTCATTTTCCCAATTCGATCAATATTCAGGTCGAGTTTAATAATATTGAAAAAAACCACATATTGTGAAATGTTATTACCTAACTAACTGTTTAATTAGGAGACTTCCTACAACAAATGACTTATACTCCAAGCCGAAGCTAATACATTTTTGAGTAAATATTTTTTTGGTCCTTAGCAAATTTTACGATACCCGTTTTAGTCCTAGCAAATAAAAAGGTTATTCGCGATCCTTTAGAAATTCAAAGTGGATCCATTTTAATTCTTTTGAAGAACTAACGTGGGTCTTTTTTGAATTTGTGATGGACCACGATTTAAACTAAATGGGTCCATTTTGAATTTCTTAGGGACCACAAATAGCCTTTTTATTTGCTAAAGACTAAAGCAGGCATCGTAGAATTTGCTGAGGACCAAAAAAGATATTTACTCTACATTTTTTTACCCTTTATATCGTATTTTGCATTTTTTTTCTTAAGCTTCTAGCCCCACAAACAAGGCATTCCATAGTACATGCTTGCATCCAATATAAGACAATCCACGTAACAGTGATGAAATTGTCATTGTTCATCAAATTATCAACCAGAATGTTACATGAATAGTTCAAATTTCCTGAATGCCACGTAATTCGTTACACATAACTGCAAAGTATATTGGCTGATGTGTCAGGTTTTTGTTAGCCACATAATTAGCTACAGGTACCAGCGATTTTTTTCTCTGCATCATCAACCACATGGTTGATAGAATTAACTGTAAGCTCGAGTTTTTTCAGCACAACCTTAAGTTTGCTTCCACGGAGGAAAGCAATGGATGCCAACCTGTCGAAAGTAACTTTAAAGAAAGACTGAAGAAATACCCCAGCGATTAGCTCTGCCGCCATGACTTTCTATAACCCAACGTGAGTGTTGAAGAAAGAAATTAATTTTAAATTACTGTTGAGATAAGTTTAGTTTGTTTAGATTAAGTTGTTTAAATTAGAGTTTGTTTGTATATTTATGTTCCTATTTATTCTGATAAGTTGTTAACATGACATGTATAAATAAACCTCATTTGAGAGGTAACTATGAATGAAGATGTTGTACAGTTCTATGAATTAGTTTCAACATGGTATCAGTTGAATTTTTTTGATCCAAATAACCCTTACACGGCCCCACATCGCTTCTTTAATTTTTTCCACAACATGTATCCTTCCTTTCCTGTGTAACCTTTCTTACCCAACCCGCATCCCAATTCCTTTGCAATATTCCAATCCCTAATTTCCCAAACCTGACCCGCTCTTCTTTTCTCTCTGCATCAGATCCCTACCTCCCTAGCAGCCATGGAGGACACCACCGAACATACTACCAACAACACCTCCACCGAAAACACTACCAACAACACCTCTTCGTCACCCTCTTCCACCGTTCCTCACTCCAACATTATTATTCAGCAAGAACATTCTTCCTTTCCCGTAACTCTCATTTTGGATGAATCCAACTATCCTATTTGGTCTCAACTAATGGAGATGCGCATCGGAGCCCGTAATAAGTCCGGCTTCCTCACTGGCCACACGTCCAAACCGCCAGCCACTGATCCCACCCATGCCACCTGGGTTACCGAAAACAACAGAGTCAAAAGCTGGCTCATTGAGTCCATGAGCCCAGCCCTCATGCAGCGGTTCATCCGCCTGAAATCTACACACAAAATTTGGGAGGTTGCTCGTCGGACGTTCTACGATGGGTCTGATGAAACCCTCCTGTTCGAACTCCATCAGCGTGCCTTCTCTGCTAAACAACATGGACGAGCCCTCTCGGTCTATTATACTGAGCTTTTCTCCAACTTTCAGGAGATTGATTACCGCATGGCCTCCTCTGCTTCCACCGTTGATGGCGTGGTTCAGACGCACTTCTCCATGGACCGTCTCCGCGTCTACATCTTATTGAATGGCTTGGACTCCAATTTTGATCAGGTCCGTGGAGACATCCTTCGAAAAGAAACCAAACTGGATCTTGAAAGCACCTACGCGTTTGTCCGTCGCGAGCATCACCAACGAGTCACAATGAGCCGCCCTGCTTCTTCACCGGAAACCTCTACTTTTCTGTCTTGTATTCCACGCAACACTGCTGTGCCCTCATCTCCCAAACCACGCAGAGGTCCTTCCTCGGCAAAACCTCTAGTGTGTTCTCATTGCGGGGATTCTGGACACTCGAAGAGTAGATGCTATGAGATCGTTGGCTATCCGGAATGGTGGGACTTCACCAAACACCCTCGCCGAAAAATCCCCTCCAAAGCACTTCAGATTTTTGTAGATGGTAATTCCTCCTCCGCTCCTCAGGCCAATACAGTGTATGAAGGCATTTTAGGTAACCCTCTTGCTCTCTCTGCTCACAGTAGGAATTTATGTTGGATAATTGATTCAGGCGCGTCAGATCATATGATCTGTGATGCCTCATTATTGACACATGTGTTTCCTTGTACTAAAAATCAAATTAAAACTGCTAATGGTGGTATGGCTGGCTTTTTGACCCTTTTGCCCCTCATTAATTAATTAATAACCAATTTGCCCCTGATCCAGAACTATCCACCAACCTGCCCCCTTTTAGTCGACTACCTTGCTTTTTTAGTCGAGCAAATGGTCAAACTTCAGAAAGTGGACTACCGCATATTTAGTCGACTAGAAAAGCATCTTAATCGACTACATTTTTGGGATATGTAGTCGACTAAGTAACGATATTTAGTCGACTATATATCGACTGAAACCCTATATTTTCCATGTTTTCGGTCTCATTTCGATTGTTGTTGTTGTGTAAACCTAAATAGCTCCCTTTGTTCATGTGTAATCCTCTCAATCCGATTGTATTTCATCCCACCATCTCTACAGACCTAATATTGTGAAATCATTGTCATTGCCCAATTCCAAACCCCAAAATCCGAACCCAAACCCCCAACTTCAGAACCCAAGTCCCAATTTCGTGAGGAAGATGAGCACAAGTCCAAACATGTATGTGACAATGATCTACTATGATGAAAAGCATTATGAAGGCCCCAATGGTGTTCAATTTGAAGGAAAAACGAAAATGTTGAAAATCAAACGGGGCACTACATACAATGAGTTAAAGGAGAGAATTCAGCAAAAATTGGGTCTGCAAGGCAGCCAATGCGTTCAACGGATGATTGCCAGGGTAGAGACAACAGTTGGTAAGGATGCTATTTACTACATTGGTAACGATATATGTGATGATGAAGATGTCGAATGTGTCATAGATGCAATTGTTGACCGAAAATTTCAAAATTTTATTGAGATATATGTTGAATTAGATTGTGGTCAATCTTCATCTGCACCCATGCATACAAGAAGTGAACCGTATTTTGGTCATGAAGAAAGAGTAGTCGATTTATCTGCACCTGCACATGTCATAAGTCAGATAACACTGCGGGAAATAGATGAGGATGAACAGGATGCCGATATGGACAGCGATGAGGACGGTGAACCTGAGAGTGTTATTCCGCTAGGTGACACGTCAGATACTGACGTAGAGGATGATTTCGACGCTGACACAAGCTCACCATCCCCGGGTTCGTAGGTTACGAGACCACTTCGTGTTGACCCTGTTAGCAGTGGTAAGATTTGTTTTTTAAAGATTTAATTTAGCAATTATTTTTTTTGTTATGAATGGTATTGACGGTGGCATTATAATGCATCCGTAGGTTCTGAGGTCGAGCCATTTTGGAATGAAAGCTCACATTATTCCTTCATTAATTGGGCCCACCCTAATGATGAGACGGAGATATTGTATGGTGACGATGATGATCACGGTGGCTGGCAATTAGGGGATCCTTTATATTTGTATCAGGAGTTTCGTAGCAAATCTGAAATGCAACATGCAGTCAAATTATATTGTATGAAGGCTCACCGTACTGCCGTTGTGGCAAAAAGTGATGACCATAGATTTGTGATGAAGTGTCGACACCATAATGATGGATGTCCCTGGTATGTGAGGGCATTGTTGCCGAAGAATGGAAATACTTGGGTGGTTAGTAAGTGGGTTAAAGAACACACCTGCCTAAACCAAGGTCTTACCCGGGATCATAGACAGTTGGATTCTGATGTGATATGTGCAACCATTATCAGTATGTATTATTCGATATATCTAACTTCCTAAGGTATGTTTACGTTAATCAGTTTGTATTCTGACTGTTGGTCAGTGTTTTTTTTATATAGGTATGTTAAAAGAAGATCCATCATTGAAGCCAGTTCTTATTCAAGAGAGGGTACAATGTTTGTATGGATACAACATATCTTACAGGAAAGCTTGGAAGGCTAAAATGAAAGCCATTGTCAAGTTATTTGGCGACTGGGATAAATCGTATGCATTCTTGCCTGGTTGGCTGACATACATGACGCAGGTTAATGTGGGTTCTGTGTTCAAGATTGATACGAACCAATGTGTTGATGAACGTCGAGTGTATACGGATAAGGCTGTCTTTCACCGAGTATTTTGGACCTTTCACCAGTGCATTGAGGCCTTCAAATATTGTAAACCCATAATCCAAATTGATGGCACGCATTTGTACGGTAAATACAAAGGAACTCTTTTGATTGCAACTTCACAAGATGGAGATGGTTACATTCTCCCTATTGCATTTGCTATTGGTCCTCCGGGTGAGAGATTGGATGATTGGTCGTGGTTTCTTAGCCTCATGTGTTTTCACGTCACGCATAAGCATGGCATTTGTCTAATATCCGATCGTCATCCTAGCATCATCAGGGCTGTAAGAGATCATGCCGGTTGGCAGCCACCATTTGCGTATCATGTGTTTTGTCTACGCCACATCGGAAGCAACTTTAACACTAAGTTTAGAGATGTGGAATTAAAGAAAACCCTGATGAAGCTAGGTACAATCTTCTTTTTAATATGTACAAATTGTATATAATTAATCCTTTTGTATCTAACGCATCATTTTGTATTCCAGGGTACTTGAGTTCAAAGATTCATTTTGATATCAGATTCTAGGAATTTATCGACAGTAACCCTCAAGTAGCTTCATGGATAGATCAGATTCCCAAAGAAAAATGGTGCAGGTCTTACGATGAGGAGGGTCGGAGGTTTGGTCACATTACGACTAACCTATCTGAGTGTGTGAATAAGGTCCTGAGGGGTGCACGTAATTTGCCTATAACAACATTGGTGAAGATGACTCAAAGTAGACTTGTTGAGTATTTCGTCAAGAGACGTGAAAAGATCCAAAAAGCAAAGGCAAAGGGTTGGAGAATTGCAAAAAAAGTTGAGGATATCATCCAAAAAAATGATCAATTAACAGAGAGCCTCCGTGTGCGGGTTTTTGATAGGGACCTGCAGCTATTTGAAGTTGAGGATGCCTACAATCAATCAACTCATGATGCAGGTGACATAATGAGGGTGGACTTACTCAATCGCAAATGTCAATGTGGACGGTTCACATCTAGAAGATTTCCTTGCAGTCACGTCTTAGCGGTGTGCAAGGTAGAAAAGTTGAACCACTATGATTATGTTGATCCTGTGTTATCAATTGCACAAATTGATAAGGTATATGCTGCACATTGGTATCCAATGGGCAATGAGTTGTTGATTCCACAAATTGATGGCCCAACCATTATCCCAAATGCATCTTTGGTACGTGCACAAGGAAGACCCAAATCGTCAAGGATACAGAATGAGATGGATTGGGTTGAGTCTCAACCGACAAGCACTCAGAGTAGATGTAGCCTGTGTAAGCAAATTGGTCACTATAAACGTACATGTCCTATGAGGATTCCCAATACAAGATGAATTGCGGAGGAAGCAGGGGAGGGGCTTAATGTTTTGATGGTTTAACATTATAGGCATTTATGGTTTTATATGCTTGTATTTGATGTCATGA